AAAAAAAAACATTGCAGCAACAATATCACAGGAAAAAACCAATGTTAACAAAATCAATTCTCCTAAGGAATGATGAATTGACTGAAAAGAAAACCAATCACCCAAACGTTTTTAATAAATTATTCAAAATGCGGACGCTGTCTCTCTAATTGACGAGAGCCGTAGACATCTTCGTGCGTCCTCCACTGCCATCCGAAAGTGGGTAGAACACAAACTGCTGCCAGCGCAATCCCACCTGAATTCAAGACTTGAAGTTTACCAGCAGATGCCACCGACAATGATGAAAAAAGGGAAGAATATAGGAAAACTACGGAATAGCAAATATCACAGAAATAGCACAAAGGAAAGCCATAAAGAAAGACACTGACCTAATACATCAGTGGGATAATGCCAATAGTCGGTTACCCGCGTTATAGCAGTAAACGTTGCCCAAATAGAGAAGATAGCCAACAGCACATTTCGAGTTTTGTACACAGAAGGTATACCAGTGATTTTCGCCATCCTTAAATAAACGCAGAATTAATACATATATAATGATTAATAAGGGATTTGAAAGGGCTGTAGTCCTTTTACTTTTCCAAGTCTAAATTTTAGTTTATGCATAAAAAAGCGGAAAGCGTAGCATTTTCGGGTTATATGATTACGTACTTAATCGTACGAAAAATCGGGAATTAGTCTAGAGTGATTCGACATGAAAGTAGAGCTATTGCCTTATCCCATAAGTTCAAAACAGTTTAGAGAAACAACTACACCTAAACCCTACAATGAGAAATCAAGACAACGTCGACCACATCTGAAAGTCGCATAGAATTAAACTTTAAGAGTTCTCTAACGTAGGCGAGATTCCTTTGGCTTTTTTGGAGCCTGCTGAACACTCACAATCCTTTGTGCCTTCGGAGTTTGAAACAAAACCCGTCCTTTTTTTATTCTTGAAAAGTATACTTAATGGCAAACCTTTGACCAAAACTTTCACGCAACTAGCTCCTAATCGCGGAATTTTAAGAAAAAAAATGTTTAAAAATGGACAAATGTGGAATAGTATGGGAAAAATAAGTGATAAAAATTAGAGGACTTGCTCTTACCTGGTTAAATATAACCCTAAGAAAAGCAAAACATGAAACGCTGCAGCAGTATGACCGGAAGGGAACGAGGTTCGGGCTGTACGAACACGGCGGACGTCGGACGTACAGTATGTTTGAGAAGCTGGAAATAAAAGAGCCTACATAGAGGTAACTCATACGTTAAGCAAATGAGGTAAGTTACCTGGAATGGAGTCCTTCCCCGTGCAATCCATTTGTGACCAATCAGGCTGACAAGCTGCAAGGAAGTGAGGGCGTAATCGTCCAAACGTACATTTCAAATATTCCATAAGAAACACGCAAAGCGCAAATGTTAGCTCGTACTTCAGGTAAAGAAGTGTTGATGTGACGAAATAATTAGCAAGTTTGTTAGGTCCCTGAGGAAAAAGTATGTAGTAAAAAAGAGATAAGCTGGTGACAGCTATTACCTGTGAGTGCCGATACACTAAAGCTTCAACAAAGCAAATGATGAAGAAAGGTGTGCCAAGTGCCACAGCAAGCAGATGCTTCATCCGCACGGTATTTGGTTTGAAAGGCATATTTATGGACTCATCATTGCAGGGAAGAGGACGCTCATATGGTGATACTACATACCTAATGATTGTTGATGACTAACTACTAAAATGATTGTTATTCAAAGTTAGAGGAAGTGGAAAAAAGAGAACACCTACCCTGCAAACATATAAAAGAGAGATATTGAAACACCCAAAGTGATCGCAATATCCAATATCATACATATAATCCCTCGGGCTACCGTCTTCCAAACTTCATTACTTTCCCTGGCAGTTAGTCTACCACTAAGAGTTATTCGCCGTAAAGGCATATCTGTAACGAGAGAAAGAATACATAACTTCAACAGCATAAGATAGTGAGATCAGAAACAAAAA